ATCCATATATATATATATATATATATATATATATATATATATATATATATATATATATATATATATATATATATGGATGGATGTGTCTTTTTCATCAATATTTTGATAGTAATTGTTCTGATAATCTTTCCTTTATGGTATTTAGACTTGAATTTAAGCGAAGTAGTAGATTGCCAGCATGGTCATATCATTATACAAATGAAATTGCTCGATATAACCGGAAGACCTATAACAGTTTCTTTTATCTTTCTTCTCGCTTCTGGAATACTATTCCTGCTGGCTTGCCAATCAACATTGATCTTCAACAATTTAAATGTAATGTCAATCATTTTCTCTACTTAATAATGTTTTTTCTTATATCAAGTAAACTTTACACACACACACACACACACACACACACACACACACACACACACACACACACACACACACACATATATATATATATATATATATATATATATATGAAGAAAAATATATACGGAAAAACAAACAAAAAATCCTTATATGCAATTATGCTGTTTTAATGTTAATATGTCAACGTCGGACGTTTCGGTCTAATAAACCATCTTCAGGACATATTCATAAAATATAATTAACATTATCAATTCAACATGACAAAGACGATGTACATAAAAACAAGACTTATCCAAACAGATAACTGAAAGTTTTATAAGATCAGCGCTCCGTTTAAAATATGTCCTGGAGATGGTTTATTAGACCGAAACGTCCGACGTTGACATATTAACATTAAAACAGCATAATTGCATATAAGCATTTTTGTTTGTTTTTTTCCGTATATATTTTTTCTTCATAGTCGGATCTATATCCATATATTTGCTTATATATATATATATATATATATATATATATATATATATATATATATATATATATATATATATATATATATAGAGAGAGAGAGAGAGAGAGAGAGTAATCGTTTGTTCAGATATGCTGTATTGAAAAGAACGGACAACAGGAGAAACTGTCTATTCTTATTTGTATCTATCTATGTCTCTGTCTGTCTGTCTCTGCAATGGTACCTTAAAGTCGTCTGTTTTTCCTTATATTATATATACGAGGGTCATTCAATAAATAAGGTGAATTTTTCGGTATCAGGACTTCTAATACAGATAGAAGCTTACTTTTTTTTATTTTTCAACGTAGTCTCCCAGCACTGTCACACACTTTTCCCATCTGTGCACAAGCTTCCGTATTCCCTCGGCGTAAAAATCTTTGGACTGATGTCTCAGCCAGTCGCTCACAACACTTTTGACTTCATCGTCACTTTTAAACTTCGTGCCTCTCGTGAACGCTTTCAAGGGACCAAACAGGTGAAAGTCTGAAGGGGCAAGCCCTGGGCTGTAAGGGGGATGAGGGAGCAGTTCCCAGCCCAGCTCATTGATGGTCTGCACCGTTTGCGCTGCTGTGTGAGGCCTTGCGTTGTCATGATGCAAGATGACTCCTACTGACTGATGATCCCTGCGTTTGTTCTTTATGTCTTTCTAGGCCTGCCTCAGCAGTTTACAGTAGTTCTTCTCCCAGACTGAATGAGGTCATTGACTAATTCGATCACCTCAGGAGACCTCACTTCTGTAGGCCTCCCAGGCCTGTCTTCATCCTCAACACTGCTCCATCCTTCTTTAAACAATTTAGCCCACTTGTAGACATTTGTTTGGCTGAAACATGTGGCACCATACACAGTTGACATTCTCCTATGAATTTCAACTGGTTTGCACCCTTCAGCAACCAAAAACTTGATAACTGACCGCTGTCCAATCCTGGAGCATGCTTCTTGGTCGGCCATCTTTGTTAATCGCCAAAACTCTCAAAGTTTTTTTTTTAATCTGCAAAAAGAAATTAAATCCATGTGAAAAAGAAGTAAAAAAAAAAGAAAAAAGAAAAAAGTAAGCTTCTATCTGTATTAGAAGTCCTTATACCGAAAAATTCACCTTATTTATTGAATGACCCTCGTATATATATATATATATATATATATATATATATATATATATAATTTCATTTATATATATATATATATTTAATTTATATATTTATATAATTTAATTTAAAGAAAAAACAGACGACTTTAAGGTACCATTGTAATAATTTATTTCACCAGAGAACTGATTATTCTCCCGATCTTCAGACTTCATTTTCAAGTTTTAAAAAAATGAAATTAAAATTTACACTTTTTAAGGGCGGCACTATTAATCTTACATAAGGTGACATAGAGGGTGATGGGGGATAGTGTGAGAGACATGGTCGAAATTAGGGAGGGAAGAGAGAGTTTTAGAATTTATTTTCATTTTTACTAAAATACTTAATATCGAGGACGAGGAGGAGGGTGGGTAAGGACGTATTTAATCGGTCAACTCACCGGAAATGATATGGGAACAAGAAAAAAGAAAAAAAGAGAAAAAAAAGGAGGTGGGAGAAAAGAGATAAGAAGTAAGAGATGGATGTATAGTTTTGAAGGAAGGGAAGGGGGTGGTATATCTTGATACTTGGGAAAGTTAGAAAAACACAAATTTTAACGTATGATATTAATTTAAATGTTTAAATACTCCACAAATAAACTAGATTAAATTCTTGATAGTAATCTAAACATTTAACTTCTCCATAAATAAATTAGGGATTTAATATAAACTGAATATTATATTTATAAATAATATAAAAATAAAAAGTTACTAAGAGTAATACATTAATATTGTGAATGACGGTTAAGATAAAATCTATTTTAGTTAGAGTTTAATTTATCAATTTAATCTGAAGCTTTTTTTAGATGAGTAATATTTTTTAATTAAAGTTTAAGTTTCAAGTTACGATGAAGTAAGATTTGAAAGTAATAATAAAAATGAGTAAAGTATTTACTGTTTTTTTTACATATACCCACCATATACATATTTACATAAATACGCACTCGTATATATTCGTATACATATACAATTACATAGATATTCACATACACATGTATCGTTACACATTGGCATATACGCACATATATACATAAGTATTTACATATATATATACATATTTCCACACGCATCTATCTTTATATATATATATTTAAAATTTACTCTTAAATTTTACAGTTAACGTTAGATAGTGAATTAAGTGTTTAAATTAAAAAAAAAAAATTTAATTTAAAAATTTTTAATATCGTGGATAATGGTTAAGGAGTGATTTTTTTTTAATTTAAATCTAAGTGAACAATTTAAATTGACATTATCTTCAGATGAGTAAAATTTCTAATTTTACAATTCTAATTAGAAATTATTTCAATAAGTAATATTAGAAGGTTATACAAGAATTAGATGGTAAAGAAATTTCTGTCTTTACATTAAATCTCTATTCATGCAAACACACACGCATGTATACATATATATGCATACAAGTATATTTGATACCTATATTCATATACACCAGATATATAATTCCGTAAATATATATATATATATATATATATATATATATATATACATATACATATATAAATATATGTGCAACCCCATACACATGAATCGATATATATATACACATATACCTAGCTAATTTTACAAATAAACATACACCTATAGACATAATTACACACGTATCCACATATACATATACACATATACAGATGTACATACATATACACATATATCCACATATCCATATACAAGCCCATATAGATATTTTTATACATATAAATATGTACCCACACACATGTCTGCAAGTATAAAAGCATCCTCACATCTAAAGATACGCCAAAATTTACCATCGTATATAAATATCTACACATATCTATACGAAACACACGTATACGTCTGCAAATATCATATGAAAACGTATAAATCATAGCCTAAAGGAAAGAATGTATATCAGTGAACCTATGCCCATATACAACTGTATATATAATATTATAACTGATAGTGTTTTGTTTTATATATGTAGTGAGTTATATTGAGATGATTTCGATGTCTGCATTTAAAGATCATTTCATTGTGTTGGTTTAGTAACTCATCAGGATCTTTATGCTTTATTATTAAGATTTTTTCTTTAATACATAGATCACAGAAATTTTCCATTTCACGACTGCAGTGAAGCCGTTTCCTACTAAATCCCAATAGTGTTTTGATAGTGCCGTTTGATATTTTTGGGATTCATTTGTGAAGGAATGGCGATGGTTGCAAAACGATGTTTCCAATTACCCGCAGATATCCTATATATAGCTTTTTTTTTTGTTTGTCATTTTCTTTGGGCTTCGTATATATATATATATATATATATATATATATATATATATATATATATATATATATATATATATATAGACTTGTGTGTATGTCTTATCGTGACACGATACATTTGTCACTGACATATTTTCCGTCAATGATGCCTGTCTATGTTCCGGTTTATCATGACATCAAAAAGTAACTCACCCACATCCACCCTCTGAGCTTAAATTTCTATTTAGCGTAGATCTGACAGTTAATTGGTTAATCAAGACATATACACAAGTCTATTTTTAATTCTGACCTTATGTTCCCCCACCTTTAACTTTCAGAAAAGTGGTAAAACTTTGTTTTTAAATTTCATTAAGTCTCATTTAATCGCCAGTTATTTAACATCTCCTGAAGATGTACTAACATATTATAGAAACATGAAAGCTTTTGTGCAGCGATTTCAACATGCTTTTTTATTATAATCTCTTATTTATATATATATATATATATATATATATATATATATATATATATATATATATATATATATATATATGTGTAGTTGTATTCCCCACATTTTTATAGTTCACTCCCATATTATTGTGAAGCAATTATAATGTCGATTGTCAGACAGAAACGCTACGCATTTTCCAAAAGGTAAACAAGGCATAGCATAAGTCTATTATTTTTTTTTTTGTCCATGTAACCCTAAAAAAATCACCAAAGTCAAAATGACCGGCTAAACCCTAAAAATACAAATAGAATAATGTGGATAACAGTCGCAACATGTCATCAATAACTTTTCTTTTCTCTTTTGCGTTCTCTTTCTCTCTCTCTCTCTCTTTTGTCCTTTCTCTCCCCCCTCTCTCTCTCTCTAAACGCAAGAAATATAAACGCGTTTTTTTTTACGTTTTCCCCCAAAGAAAAAGATAAGAAAAAACTAGTGTTCTCTTTGTGAGCTAAATAAACACGACGTAATGTCTTTCTCTACAACAAAAGTCGAAAGTTTTTCTCCTTTTTTTCTCTGATTTGTCTGTAAATATAATTTGAACGTGCAAAAACAAACTTAGTCTAAAAATCAGGATGTTAGGAAGTCCGCAAAATTCAATGGTGACATGATGTTTTAGATAAAGCGCTATAGAATACTACTAAATAAACAGCGCTTTATTTTGTCAGATATTCAAAATACTTGCGTGTGGCGAACTTTGTAAGTTAATTTTTTAATACTAAAATCCACCCAATGCAAAACTCGAGAGCCGCGCAAGGTAGAGTAATACTGTTAAAATGTTAATGATGAATGGCGAACGCAATATAAATGAAAGTGAAATTGGTAGTGAAAGACCATGAGGATGAAGTGGACAGATAACCTTTGATTCTTGACTTGAAGAGGTTAAGATTGTAGTTTTCAGAGAATCCACGCAGCAATATGTTCCATCAGGTTGTTGCGTGGTAGTTGTCTGCGTGGAACTATCTTCTTACATTTGGAAAACGGGGGGAAATAAGAGTGATTCAACTCGGTAGAAGTAGCATAGCGTGCCCTAGGTGTAAATGTCTGAACTTGTGGAGCTAAAGAATGGAGAGCATCTGAACATTTGTAATGTCCGTGTGAAAGAGGCTGCCGAGATCGCGTAAGGGATTTCTTATCAATGCTGGAAAGTGAAGATTAAGCTGCTTAACTACAGGTATGACAATGATACGCCATTTTCTTTATGTCTAATCTGACTCCTGAGAATTATGAGGTATTCAAAAAATATATCTAATCAGAAATTGTAAGCAGGTTTCACTGTGTATCACTGACCGGTTAGCTGACTCGAATCTGCTGCTTTTCTTCTACCACAAGGACTTTTCCGGGTGAAGGCTTAACAATTTGTGATTTTATTTTCCTAAAACTAAGCTGTTTAATGAATGCACTTGTGAAATTGCCAGTTGTAACTATAAGTTCTGTGCTATTAGGTTGGTGCAAAAATAATGACGTAATAATGTCGTTTTTGGACGTATTTTTTAACGTCAAAAAACGACATCATTACGTCATTATTTTTGCACCAACCTAATAATAGTTTATTCTCCTGCTCTTCTTGCTTACAGAAATCTCTTCCGGTTTCTGTCGATTACAACCTGCAAAATTTAAATGCAATGTCAATAGCCATGTTCTGTCTCATTGGATCCTGTTCTTTTGTTGTTTTCTGTTTTTTTTTTTTTGTTTTTTGTTTTTTTCACTCTCAGTAACCCCTTGCATACTAGTGACTTTTATTGTCTTGCCAGTGGTAAATCGATTAAAAAATATCATATTGAAAGTACGTCCTTAGGACAAAAACTAAAAATAGCAAAACCGTTACCGATGTTTTTACTATTTTAATTTTCATTGACTAATTGTGCTTTACTAGCGATTGCTACTTTTGTGGCTATTGTCAAATTCGGGCCTAGAGGATCTTCCCCATTTCTTTTTCTCTCTTTCTATTTCTACATTTTCTTTCTTGTTACCACTCTGACTCTGCAATTCCTTCACTTGACCCCACTCTCTCTTTTCTTTTCTGGATGCAAATTATATATAAAAAAAATACCAGTTGTTGTATATATCCGAACGCTTTCAGCTATATTTTTAGCCATTATTAAGGATGAATTTTATTTTTACTGTTAACTGAATTAATGGATTGTTTTATTTACGTATCTAGCGTTATAAGAATGTTTTATTTTCGAAACATGGTCAGTGCATTGTGGCCGTGTTCGTAGTTGATATGAATGAATATTACCGCTTTCTTTTTTATTAATAGTGCTTCCATTATATTTAGCCTTTTTGACATGTGGTTGAAGCTATGATATTTGTATTATCAACAAACATTTTGCGGATAGGGTTTGGTAGGTCCCCATGTGCATATAAATGAGGCATAATTGAGCTCTATCTATCTATCTATCTATCTATCTATCTATCTATCTATCTATCTATCTATCTATCTCTCTCTCTCTCTATATATATATATATATATATATATATATATATATATATATATATATAATCCAATGGAATAAATTATGATCATGGAATATTAGTGTTTAAGCCTTTTTATTATATCCTTACTCTGTCCTGGACATTGAGTTCTACCTGGATTCTATCCCCTTGAATATTTTTTTTTTTTTATACAAATATATATATATATATATATATATATATATATGTATATTTACCACTAATATTATATATATATATATATATATATATATATATATATATATATATATATATATATGGGGTAAAAATACATATATATATATATATATATATATATATATATATATATATATATATATATATATATATATATATGGGGCGTAAATACGCAGAATATATATATATATATATATATATATATATATATATTCTGCGTATTTACGCCCCAAAAGGCAAATACTATTAAAACAAACATTTCGTGTCTATTAACTTTAATTGTCGACTTTTACAAATTACGAATAATCCATCATCGTCATACTAAATTGTCGCAAAATAATAATTTTTCCCTAAAAATAAATAATAATTATCAATAAAAGATAAAAGCAGCTATTCTTTAAATTCTTTCATGCCTTAACGAGACAATTTTTTGCGTGTGTTGGTTTCCCGACTTATTTTATGCATTTTAAGGAAAAATCACAGAGTACTATATTTTCTTGTGCATAATACTTGTGATTTTAAACGGAAATTTAACGTAAAAATTTGGCTCGTGTTATATACAAATACACATTTTTAGAAATGTTTACCCAGATTAAAAAACTTCTTATTTGAAACATCAAGATTGCAAATACACTCAGGACAATAGATAACAAAGCAAAAAGTATGCAGGTGTTGATAATAATTGCTTACAAAAGGTATTTGGTATGTGGGAAATATTTGTTTCTCTCTACATTCTTAATGAATGAGGATATTTTTTTTAATTTTCATAGTTTATTAATACATAGAAATATATGATCGAAAATGATAGATTAATTAACACCTTAAAATATATTACTGGATATGTCAAGTTAGCACCGAAAATACGAAAATAAGTTTTGGAATGGAAAATTAACTACCATACAGAAACTTTTCTGCCTGCCTTCAGCATGACTTACGCTAAACTCCTGAAGAGCAACACATTGCGCCTTCTTGGCTTTATGTTTTCAACAGGTTTGAAGTGGACGACATCGAATTAATAGCCATATCTACTGCAAGGAAATTTGGGTTACTGTTTCATGCTAGAAAAAAATTTCTGGTCAAAGCCCATCGTTCACATTTACATACCTACCTTTCGCCTGTGCATTGAATCCTGCTATTTATCTCGAGGTTCTTGGCAAAATCCAAAGAAGGATCTGTAACATAGTCGATCCTGATAGTGCTTTTCGACTTCAGTCACTTTCTCACCGACGTGACGTGGCTTACCTCTGTCTTTTCTACAAATATTTTCATGGCAACTGCTCTGATGACCTTTTTGACCTGGTGCCTCGACGTCATGAATCTAAGCGTGCTACTAGATTGGCATCTAGGTCCCACCCGTTTACCGTTGAAATAGCTAAATGCAACCGCCACATCCACTGCAACAGTTTATTTTCTCGCATTTCCCACCTGCGTTTACTATCTTCACTGATAACTATGATCTTCAAAAAATTTAAATGCAATGTCAATCGCCAGCTTCTATTTTTTTTTCTCTCCAGTTCATCTTTTGTCCTTTGCTCAATCATCGCTATACTCAGTCTTTTCTCTCATTTTCATTTCCTGTAACGAACTGCGTACTAGTGGCTTCCTTCCTTGCTTGGGGTGAAATTATTTTTTTAAAAAAGTTAAAACAATTGCTTAATGGCTAAACATCCGGTTCATTTTTATTCTTTAATATCCTGAAAAATTAAATATTTTAGTGAAATATATGTACGATATTGAGATTTTAATGAATTATAAAATACAACTTTTCCAACAAAAAATTGTTGTCTTGGGCATGACGATAAACTACATCCGTGTCCTGGGTAAGACGATAAACTACGTCCAACAGCAAGGCCTCTGATAAGGAGGTTTTGAGGAGCGTAGGACTACTTCTTAATTGTTGGTGTTCCCAAGTCCACCCTGACCAGAGTTGGTAGGACCTGTTAGGGTCCCAGCTATGGGAAAATAGTTAACACCCAAACTGCGGTCAAAAAACTATGAAAGTGTAAAAATAGGTTTTAATACCAAAAATATTTTGTAAAAAAATTTTTACCAGCAATACATTTTTGAAAATAATATATCACCAGCAATAAAAATCTTGTCGGCATTAAATAATTCGTTGAGGTTCATATGCCGTAAACCAAATCAAACCAAACCAAATAAAAATTGTATAGAGATGGCAGTACTACGGTGTCGTGCTATACTCAAGGATGTAATTTATTCTTTGTTTTTATCTTCAGAAACACTGGTCTTATTTTACACAACAAAATACGGTAAATAACAATTCTTTAATTTTTTCTTAAAATTGAATAAAATGTATTGTTAATGCTCTTGAAGTTTTAGCAATAGTTATATTCTTTCGTGATTTGTTTACGCTAGTTTTACGGTGTTGGTCCTCATTTTAATGCATTTATATGACATTAAGCACGGTTTACGGTAAGAACCAGGTCACGTCACGCCTTATGGAACCAATTAATAACGTAGGGTGGGACATATCTGTAAATGAAATCGCGATCAATAGGAAAGCAGCATACAATTAAGAAAAGTTTCTATATACTCGATCATTGTCGCGAAGCATAATTTAGTGTTTAACAATCATAACAAAAACGAATTAACCCTCGTTGTCTGAATTATGGTTTTATTGGGTTGTTGTGTTATTTAATGATGAAATCAGTCTTTGTTGCAATATTTGATTATTAATCATTTACTTGGTTCAGAGACAGGTAAATATTAGTCGTTTATATTTGAGTCTATAGGCATTTACTGTATATAAGCGTGTGGCCAAGTTGCTCGAACGTCGCTTTCTGACCCGGGTTCGAATCTCACCATAGTCGATTTGTTCGTCGATATAACTTCTTTATGTTATCGACAGGGTGATCCCTTGAAAACTATACTACGGGTCGATCTAAGCTTTGTGAGTGAAATTGGTTAGACGGAACAGTTACAAGTCATCGTGATCTGAAAATACTGGTCTTGTTCATAAAATTGATCTCGCCAGGTTATGCGTTATCTCCCAGGAACCGTAAGTAAGGTCCGCTCAGCATTGTGGCAATATGAAACACAGGTTAAGTATCCTGACATTTAAAGAAAAGAATATGGGAACCCAAAGAGGTTTAAATTTAAACAACACACTCAATACATTTGTATGCTACCGGAACATTATTGATTTCAATTTTGACAATTTTTTACCAGCAGATGAATATAAATTACTCAGACAAAAAATAAATTGAAATTGGTATAATATACGAATCATATACGTTTAATATACAACTGGGGTTTTTCAGTTTTTACTAAATACTTACTGAAACAATGTGGAGTAACTAAACCATGAAATAAATGTATATATAAATGAGTCAATAAAATAGAGATTTGGAAAAATTGGAATTAGTTAAAATGTAATTTCTATAACGAAACCCTATTAGTAGTAGATGCAAACATGGATGGAAAGACACAAAATCTCCCACAGAAGGTAGTGAAGAAAGGGAGAAGATAAGAAACATCGACTGTCAGAAGAATCCATGTCTGTTAGCAAAAAAGTTGGCTCTCTGTGCCTCGCCAGGAAATGTTTCTCCCCGGAATCAATACTTCAAATCAACCATTCGCACTTGCATGGAGTATTGCTGCCATATATGGTCTGGGGCACCTTCTGTTTACCTCGGAGTTCTTGACAAGATCCAGAGACGGATATGTAATATAATTGGCCCTGATCTGGCATCTCGTCTACAGTCACTCTCCCACAGACACGCCGTCGCCTCTCTCTGTCTTTTCTACAAATACTTTCATGGTAATTGCTCCGATGAGCTGTTTTCACTGGTTCCCAGACTCCATGAATTTAAGTGTTCTACTAGGCTGGCATCCTGCTCCCACCCTTACACTGTAGAAAGTTTTAAATGTAGCCGTCTCTTCTACTCCAATAGCTTCATGCCTCGCACCTCTCGCCTGTGGAACACCCTTCCCAATTACTGTTTCCCTGAGAGCTACAATCTCCAACTATTCAAATGTAATGTCAATCGACATCTCCGGCTGCCTTAATCTATCCACTATCGTTCTCCTCATCCTTTATTCTATCACTCCTATCTGCTCTTGCTCCAAATCTTTTGCAACCCCCCTGCATCCTAGTGGCTTCACGCCTTGCTCGGGACGTAATGCTTAAAAAAAAAAAAAAAAAGGATGAGCCTAAAATGCAAATTACATATTGGAGATACCAAAATCAAACAAGTACAAAAATTTAAATATCTGAGAAGTGCTTTAACAGAGGACAGAAAGTGCAACACTTAAATCCAAAGACACATTGTGACAGCCAAAGATGCATTCCAAAAGCTAAGTAGAGTACCAAGAACCAAGAAAACATCGTTAGAAACAAAGAATAGATTACTGCACTGTTACGTGATATATGTTTTCTTATTTGGCAATAAATGCTGAAAGAAGGGACTTGAAGCAACAGAAATGTGATTTCTACAGAAGGATGCTGAGGATACCATGGATTGAATATGTGAGCATCGACGAAGTATTAGAGAAAATTGAAACTAAAAGGTAACTTGTACTTAACATCAGGAAAAAAATAAGTGAACTTTCTAGAGCACATAATTAGGAAATAGGGCTTGGAAAATCTGATACTCACTGGGCAGATTGAAGTCAAGACAAACTGAAGAAAACAAAGCTTAACCTACTTAGTGAACTTGAGTAAATGGATAGCGAAACGGGGTTTGGGAGATATCAAAAATGACAAAATTTATTAAGATCTACAAAGGACAGGGAGTTGTGGAGAGTCATGACCGCCTAATTCATGATGGGAAACGGCACATGAAGAATAAGAACGATATAGTTAAAAGTAAAAATTAAAGAACATCGATATGCTTACCGGGTAATACATTTTGTCTCATTAATGCAGATATTTTTGCCATAAAATTATTTTTTAGATAACACCGAATCATCGTTGAAATATGTCAAAATAGAAGTTCACCTGTCCTGCATATTTTCCTCACACATGTACACACACACACACACACACACACACACATATATATATATATATATATATATTTATATATATATATATGTATATATAATGGACTCTCCCGTCGGTTTCGACGTATGAGGATCTGACAGCTTAGTTGCTTCAGTTATGAAATTTTGTGCGAAAGTCTTAAGTGGCATTTAAGACCAGCTAATGATTTACAAATGAGGCCACATATGGATCAAGAGTGAAGATCGTGAGATGAGATCCCTGTTAAATTGGCTGACCTTTTAGTTCTTGCTCTCGCTTCTTGAAGATGATTCAGACAAGTAGATTGAAAACTGCTGAGTTCACTAAAACCTGTTGATCTCCATTCTACCCGCTCCAAGGCTAAGCGGTCAAGGGACATTCTCAAGACATGACCAATCCACTGTAACTGAGACTGTATGAGAAAAGTCTCTATTCCTCCAATATTACACTTGCTAAACAGTTAGAAGTCCTATCTTGAAGGTTAACTCCACATGGAGTGCGATGAATTAATTGTCGTCTAAATTACGCAAATATGAAAATAATACTAACATCTCATTTTAATAGATATATTTACCAAAATTACGCAAAAAACATCTTGAAATACTAAAGAGTAAATTTATTCAATAAAATCAACATCGGTTTCAATCACGGCCTCCAGACGACTTTGAAATCTCCTTCAACTCTTCTGGACTGTCTTTTCGTTTAAGTTGATGAATGCTGCCATAATCCTTGCGTTCAGATTATCTTTGGTGTTACAAGGGGTTTTGTTGGTCTTTGGTTCAACTTCGCCCGACATATAATAATCAAGGGGGTTGCAGTCTGGAGAGTTAGGTAGCCAAATTTAAGTTGTGATGTGGTCGCAGAATTTGTTTGACACCCTATGACTGTGTTCTTCTGCCTCTCTGTCATGGTGCAGTGTCCTGTTACCTGCATTATCTCCTCAAAACACTTGATGTGGAACTCTGTATTGTGTCTAAAGGCCTCACCAAAAAATTCGGAGATTCTTTTCTGATCAGAACGATCGGAGTGAGTTTTCCGAGCAACCTTACCTTCGTAATCCCATTACACTCATCCAATTCTTTCTGAATCCTCTGTTCTGTCCTCATATTACACACAAACACTCTGAAATGTTCGTATTTGGAGTTTCTGGCGCGAATGCCAAGCAGCACAGCATGTCGTTTGCAAATTTCTGGCGGAGTGGATTGCGTCATGGTGTTCTTTTTTCTCACGGACGGTGCCCAACTGACCCTACTATACTGTGGAATTGGCAAAAATCAAAAACCAACAACGAGCATGAGCCAAATGAAAAAATTACCCACCACACCTTACTGTGCTAGCACGAAGTCACAAGTCATCGTGACCGAGGGCTTGAACGTGCTGGCCTTGTTAAAATTGTTGATAATGCTATATAACACGTTCTTTCCCAGAAATTACAATTAATGCCTGCTCAACAAAGTTACAGTATAAACCACAGGTAGGCTCTGTGGATGTTGAATAAACACAAATGCGCTTGATCAAGCGTCTGCAATAGGGATTGGCTAGCAACACTAGAAAACATATATCCTCGAATACGAGTGGCCATATATATATATATATATATATATATATATATATATATATATATATATATATATATATCGAATACATTTACGTGTAGATATGGATGCGTGAATAAATCTGTAACAGGCAGAAAATCTATGCAACAAAAAGTAACATATCATGCAAAACAAAGGCCTGTACAAGTAAACACTTGCAAGATATCATGAAACCAAGAGAAAACAGCGGGTAACAGGAAGTTGTGGAGAGTCATGAATGTCTATATCCTGACGCGAATCGGCACTCGGAAAAAATATAATCCAACATAGTCATTGAAAAGGCGAAGATAATAACTCTGTTTAATGTATTTACTAAGTTTTGTTTAATTAGGCACATCGAAACAAATTTGGGTCGCCAAGTGAGAATTATATTCACTACAACACTAACGGCTCCTAACCATTGTACCGTGGTGCGATGTTTGAACGTGTTTACCAGGTGTCATAGATAGGAACTTGTTCTGTTAATTTTCGTGAAGAATGGGCATCATCGTGGAGAAGACACCGGGTGGCCCATGATAATGATCCCGGGGTCGACATTTTTATTCGCTCTCACCTCCTCCTGAAAATAACCTCTGCTATACACGTACTCTCTAGAGACCATGATATCCAATACGAAGGTATTAGTGAGTGTTAAAGGGTTTGTTTTACTGTGAAAGTTGGCGATTGACCAAATGGTGGAAATATCTGTCAGCAGTTTAGGATAAGGAAGGCTTCCCGGAACGGGCGCGTGCCGGACTCTATCCTCTTGATACGATTTATGTTTACCTATGTAATTCGAGCGAATTTCTTTCTTCACTGTCTCTCATTTCTTTTTCTTCTTCTTCTCCTTCTTTGTTTCATTCTCTTTCTCTCGATTTCTTACCCACTCTCTCTCTCTCTCTCTCTCTCTCTCTCTTTCTGTTTATTTCTCTGGTTCCACGTTTTCTCTTTCTTTCGATATTACTTTCTTCTTTTTCGTCTTCTTTATTTCGCTCTCTCTCTCTCTCTCTCTCTCTTTCTTATTTTCTCACCTCCCCTCTCTCTCTCTCTCTCTCTCTCTCTCTGTCTTTTTCTCTGAATCCCCCATTTTGTCTTTCGATATTACTTTACTTTCTTCTTTGTTTGTCTGTCGCTCTCATTTCTCTCTCTCTCTCACTCTCTCTCTCTATCTATCTATCTATCTATCTATCTATCTATATATATATATATATATATATATATATATATCACTGGTTCCAAATTTTCTCTTTCTTTCAATATTTTTTCTTCTTCTGATTTCCGACAACGAAAGAAGCACGCGAACATATAATCGAAGTTTTGGCTATGTTTTAAACCTGGAATCTTTTGCAAAGAGAGAAAAAGCTAGTAAGGGCCACGAATGTAAGGAAGACGTGGAGGGTTATGATCGCCCACGTCTTAATGGGACTGGGTGCATAGAAAAAGAATCCTAACGTCTGAAACTTCAGGATTCGCATTTGGCTTTTCGTTTTTCACATTCATCTTCCTTTAAACCATCGACTTTTTTGTTCTTTAATCTCCCCATCCTTTTTTATTTTCTGTACCATGTCTCTTCATCACTTGGCCGATTATGATCCTCCACAGCTTCCTACCCTTAGTACCTCTAAACAATATTTATCCCCTTACTATCACTTCCAGTTCCTCTTTTGCTATTTACACAAGAATTTTAGGTAGATCACTCAATGTTTCCGCTCTCCCTCTTACCTTCAGAAGGTCCAGTGTATGTCATTATATATATATATATATATATATATATATATATATATATACAGGATGTCCCAAAAATTGACATCGTTTTGTAGACTAATAATATAGGCGATTCTCGTTCAAATGATCTCAAATTTTGACAAATTGTATAAAAATTAAGTTGTCCGCGTGGATTTATCTCAACGAGAATCTACCAGGAAGATGAATCGGGCGTGCCAGTAATAATGACAATGAGCCACCAGGTTCACCTCTCTTGATCCCTTGTGTTTTTTCTAAGAGGCTATGTCAAAAGACAGGTCTATGTCCCCACTCTTCCTACAATCCTAGAGAAACTTAAACATAGATTCATGGAGGCGCTAGAGAATGTTACGCAAGACATGCTACAGCGTATTTGGCAGGAGCTGGACTACTGACTTGACGTGTGTCATTTTGCAGGTGGTACGCATATTGAATATTTGTGATGCTTTGTGAAATCGGTTATAAAATCTACATCCCTTT